TATTTTATTTTATGAAATATTATGGCTCAAAAATTAAAATTTTATAAAATAAATGATATTAACATAAAATAATAATATTGTATACAATATATATATTTTTTAAATACTGTGCTTTATCTTTATCTCTAGCTATATACTATTGTTAATTATTTTGCGTTTACTATTTAGTAGACTATTTAGTCGTTAAACCTTTTAGTCTAACGGGTTTAAATTGGTTGGATTTTGGCTACATTTCCTTTCTTTGGGGGTTTGTGTTATAAGACTTCCATCCAATGAGAGTTCTAAGAAGGCTTGAATTAGCTTAAATTTTTTACGTTAGTATAATTTTGAAATATATTTTTAAATTTATAAATTTAAAGGTTTGTTTTTTATTTTCGGTGCTGTTAGATTTAACTGATGTGAAATCAGGTTCTATTGATGTTTGAATTATTAAAAGCATAGTAAAAGCTGAGAATTTTCAGGGGCAGACAAAAAAAAATACATACCATCTTAAATCAAATACATTGTTTGCTTCGTATCGAAGCTAAAACATCAATGATAAGAGTAAAGATAAAAGCAAGAATTTTAAAATAAGCTAATAAAAAAAAATCAAATTTTGAGTGTGCCCATATTTACAATATACACCAACAGAGTTAGCATTGAATTGCAAAATACTTATGTATTTTATTTAATTTGGGTGACGGGAAAAAGCTGATTAATAATTTATAATCTCTTGCGATTACACTTAGGACTCTTTGAGCAATTTAACCACAACAGAATTAAAACGACTTAATCATGTTTCTATAAAGCATCCACTGTCTTATATCAACTATATCGTGATGTGTTTCATTATCTAAACTTGTATTTACTAAATTCAAGTTGTAAAATCTCGTGGCAAAATTCGGTATAAAACTTAACGACAAAATCATTTTACAGTTACGCCAATGGCAATTACTGTTTAATAGATTCTATTGTTTCACTAATAATTTTAAAGTCGCCAATTGCTTTTTCTTCACTGAATATCTGACAAAATAAAGAAATATCGCTTTTGTGTTATAAAAAATAAATATATATGACGTTAACACAATCTTATCGTTTTTGCCGTAGGAATGCCTTAAATTAATCCGTCAGCCATTGGCTCAAAAGGAAACGTTTTTGTCATATATTGTAATAAATACAACATACAACTTTTTATACCGGTTATACAAATGACACAAACTATGATAGAAAAGTGTTTTTTCAATATAAAGTTTTGGATCCAATATAGGTATTATTTTAATGCTTGTTTAATATTTATTATTATTCCTTTTTATAGTCGTATATTTACAGATATAATTTTGTTCATACCCTTCACTTATGGTTATTGTGCCGTTGTTTCGAAAAATATATTTTCATGTCATGAAGAGTTTATAAAATTTATTACAATAAATAATTATTGTTCATTACGGTATACAGATTATAAACTTAAATTTGCCCTTTGGAATTGGCAAATCACTATATCCATAAGAACAGTATACAGGTTTACAGTTAAAAGTTAACAGCCATTAAACTCAAAGTAGTTTTTATGTTTTTAACATTTCAATTTGTTTCTTTTTGCTGTTCACACAATTCAAAAATTGGTCATTGGACTTATTGAATATAAAAAATGAATTGCCTTTAAAATTTCAATAATACTGAGTAGTAATGTAGTGAGATCAAACATTTTTTTAGAATTGAAAATGAAAATGAAATAAATTATTTTAATATAGATGATAAACACCACACAGGGTGAAACTAAATTAAGATGAGCTGCAATTTCTGCTATGAGTAGCATAAAAATAGATTTGTATATTTTTGACGTTGCTGAATTTAATTTAACTTTAATTTTTTAATATCTATCTTTTCAGAAGGTTTATTTGGTCATTTTTTGTTCATTTTTAATGTAATATATCAAAACATATGTTTTTAGGTACTCAATCCGAATTTGACAATATTTTAATACTCCCCTTTTTAAGATTGATCATTGGGATCTTTTATCAATTATAGTTAATTTTTATTTAATTTATCAGAATATATGATTTGAAGTCGTGACTACAAATCACGATTTTACAAAAAAAACATAGTAATATCAAATTCAATTTTAGTTGGATAAAAGTTTTTTTTTCAATAATTTTTATGAATAAAATGATTTTTAAATTTAGCAACACCGAAAATACATTTTAAGTTTATATTTGGGGAAAAGTGTAACGGGTAAGCGAATCTAGAGATTTGAGCGCCTCTCTTTTCAAGAATAGGAATGATAAACGTAAAGCTAGCAGCCCCATATCATAAAATACACAAAACGTTAAGAAACAACAAGACATGTCTAGGATTTGGAAGAAAACTGGATAATAACTGAAATTGGGAGATGGCACCAAATTGAGTCTTGGAATATCTGGGTACGTTACAATGAATATTAAATGCTATTCAAAAATACAATGTTGCTATAGTCGCTACACAAGAGATACATTGGAATGGAGAAGGCAACATAAAAAAGAATTATGAAACAATTTTCTATAGTAACAGAAACGGATAGTTTAAAAATTGAGTAGGATTCTTAATAAATAAAAGTATTCTACTATATGTAAAAACATTCAACGGGAAATATTATGAATATAATGAGAACTTGTATATGGTATTCATCGATTACAAACAGACTTAGGATAGTATAAACAGAATAGAGCTATGGAAAGCTATGACTAATTTTGGTTTACCAAAGAAATACATTGATCTGGTCATACTGCACAGTTCCAATGCACATTGGAAAGACAATATCTAGACTAAAATTTCTATAAAAAAAGGTGTTAAGAAACATTTTTGGCCCGATATACCATACAGAGCTAAAAACGTTTAAAAGATGAAAGGATCATAACTTGTACAGTTTGTATGACAAACCAACATTTTATCAAATTAAAAGTTAATAAATAAAAAAGAATGGCTTGGACACGTATGAAAAGTCGATAATAATATCACAAATAAAACTAATTGAAAACATTCATTCTAAAATACTAATAGGTAGACCTCATACAAGATAGATAGATGTTGTTGAGAAAGATATCAAAATGTTAGAAATAAATGTGTCAGTTGACCTGGAATTTAAATGGTAAAGATGGAGAAAATTGCTTATGGGAACTCAGGTTCTATATGAACTGTAAAGATAAAACAAGAAGAAAAATAAATTTAGTAGTCAACCAGAGTGTATTTAAAATACCAAATAACTAACAATATTTAATATTTAAAGAATGATATATTCCTCAAAACATGCATTTACTGCCATAAATTCTGAAAACTTTAAAAATCTTAATGCTTTTAAAACTTTATATTGTGTTAGATAAAATAAATAATTATTACGGTTCAATACATTTACAGCGCAATACAGATTATATGAAAAATTTTCAGTAATGAAATATACTTAAAAACTATTATTAAAAAAAATATCGATGCATGACGTGTCAACTTATGACAGATAAAAGTTAATAGACTAAACACAATATATTTAATAACCAGTTTATGTGTTTTTTAGAAGTCTACTATCTCCTACTATTTTTTATAGGTATAAATAATAAAAGATTCAAATGAGTTTTTCTATAGTAAGATATTGATAGGTTATTATTTTAAAATTTGTTTTAACTCTAAATTCATTAACACCAATTCAAAGCCTATAAAATTATCTTGAAAATATGTATCGAAACATATGATAAATATTTAATTTATAATTTTTAACAAATATTAAAAATATTCAAACATAAATGTGTAATGGTACAGTTTAGATGAAATGTTGTAAATGTACTATTATTGTATTATTACTCGTATTATTGTATAATATGCCACAACATCGTGTGGGACTTTTGCATTCGCGTTATGTGGTGGCGGCGCTGGAAAAATGTTGTCATGCCTAACAAAGTGATAAGAAGATAAAATGGTTGGTTACGTTTTAAAAGAAATGAAATACGAAATGATATCTGTTTATTAAAAATGAACACATTGTTTTTTTCTCTTTCTCTCTAAATAAAAACTAACAAGTAACAATAAGAATTTCATGATGAATTAAATGGAAATATCAACAAACTATGTTTGAGAGAACAGCGAATAAATACGCACGATTATCAACTATATTTGAACTCCTACATCAATGAACACTGCATCACCAATACAACTGAAATTAAGGTTAGAAATATAACGACCACTAATCGTACACATACTAAATAGTACATAGAAATGAATATGTTTATTTTTGTATATTTTAATATTTATATAAATTTTAAATTGTTGTTTAATACAGAAACGAATAAATACTTCTAATGTTAACGAATTGTAATCAAAACTAATTTTTAATTTGTAAAATAAATTAAATACCATTTCAAATGTTTACTAAAATGATAAAATAATTGATGTTCAATATATTACTGTTTTACAATTAAACCAACATAAAATATTAAAGATTTCATAATTTTTACATCATTTGATGATGGTCCATTTTTGATTTTTTTTCTGCTTCCAGGTAGAATTAAATTTGGTCTCATTGAGGCTTCGTATTTGATTAAGTTTATAAATGCATATTTTTTAATTTGAATTCTGTTTTCTTTCAAATTTAAATTTTCAAGATTAAAGATTCTACAAAAAATTGTTATATTCGTAAAAAGTACTCTCATTGACCCTTAGTGTGCTTAGTGATTCAAAACTACAAAAAATATGTAAAACCATTAAAAAGTTTTAGTTGTTAGTTCAAAGTTTTTAGAATTGCTCAATATATTTTCTTTTCTTTTTAAGTTCTTTTTACTTTTTAAATAAAAATACTTTCGTCTTTCACGCATTGTTATCAATTCAACAAGAAAATTTTATTTGATCAAAGTTTTTTCGTAACAAAAATAGGTAATATTTTTTATTTAAAATAATTTTGTTATTGGTAAAGGTTTGTGTAAATGAAATTTCTTGAGATTTTTTTTACATGCGATGCAAATTTTCTATGTAATAAGTTTATTAAAAAAAAAAGAAGTACTTACGTTCAAAATAGCTCGTATCAGATAAAATATTACTTCAATTTTGCAAAATGAGTCGAATTGCTAAAAAAAAGTATTGTTTTTTTAGTATGTTCCTTGATAATGTATTTATATGAACAAATATTTTGATTAATTTTATTAACTATTTCGAAAATGATAAAAATATCATATCTTATAATTTAATTTTAATTTTATCTAACTAAAAAAATTAAGTAATATTTCTTGTGGTTGATATTATAATAGATAGCTTACTTTATTCACGTGGTCTCTTAGGACGTTTGAGTAAACAACTGCTACAGCTTCGAGTGCCATGAAAGTGATAAGACCTACAATCCATGGTACAATTAATGATACTCGTTCCTATAATATAATAATAAACATTTTCAATATAATAATCAAATATCATTTGAATATTATTCGAATTTTTTGTTTATAAAAATTTTAATATTATGAATAGTAACACAATTAATTTTATAATTTAGTATTATAAAGAAAATAACTTAATAAGTAAAGGTTTGTCTTATAATCATACTTGGTTAGAATACTTTTATTCATGCTCCTAATCACAAAACAAGGAAACTAAATATTTTTTATTGACAACTAAATTTATCCTAAAATAATAATTATTTTGAAAAAATATTTTCTATTTTATTTAGTATTACTTAAATCCTGCTGATCACCTAAGTATCCATATAACTCTAAATTCAAAATATTAAATTGATGTTTCGACTTTCTTTTAAGAATAGCTATATTTTTATATGCTATATATATCATTAAATTGCCAAGTATCATGTCTTATATAAATAAAGAGAACCATTACATTGGCCCATGTGATATCTTATGAGCCGACGAACTAATAAATTTTGTTAAAAGAACACATTGTGAGTTACCTCTCCACGGGGCTTTCTAAATGCCATTATCAAAATATCACACTATTATAGGGGTATGTATACTTTGACCGTACATAATCTGTGTAAAACAAAACCTATTATTACTGTAATTTATTACATAGTAGGTCGTAAAGTGATGCATGTTCAAGTATGTTACTTTAGATTAAGTACAAAATACATTAAAATTCAAAAGATAACTATAAGCACTGATATAATAATGTTTAGGGACGTTAAGATACACTTATCAGCTTGTTATTTTCTTAATACACGATATTATAAGGTCAATAAATTACAAATAATGGTATTATTTCACAAAAAATATTTTATTTTAAGAAATTACATAAAAAGTTAGAACTAAAAAAAAAATTTTAATTCAATTTTTGTTCAAGTCTTAAAACATTTAATGACCTCATATAAATTTCGAGTATGTCTTAACTTATTTAGATGTTACATATTAAATGCTAATTAGCCAAAATAAAACAGTTCTTTTTAATTATATTAATTAATCACATAATATAACATATTTTAGTATGACGGCAATATATATTTTTAATTTATTAATACTAGTTATCGTAAATTTACATAGTATTAGTTCATATTTAATGAAATGCAATCAATTTTTATTTTTTATTGTAAGAATTCAACTAAATTAAGGATATGCATACTATAATTATTCATTTTCATGGTTTCATATTATGAAAACTTATATCATATTGTTTTATAAGAAAACAAATGTAAATTTTTTGTAGATTATGTTTAATATTTTTGATTTATAAAATGTTTTATAGGATTTTAATACAGTTTAATATATATTTAAATTACTAATTATAATTTTTAATTTATTTTATATTTATTAAACTTTTAATAGTTAGTTTAGCTGCAAACATAACAATCTAATTATAGGTTTAACTATAAAAGGTGCGATAAAATTTTTTTAATGATATTTACAAAGATTCTAATAGTATTAATATTTTGGTTCACATTAGCAAACTTAAGAAAATTAACTAATTAAAAATGTTTGATTTAACGAAGTTCTATGTATAAATATATTAAAATACCGTCAAAGTTACTACTTTAGTTTTATTAAATAAAATAAATAGTGGAAAATATTCAAAAGGGCTAAAAAGTAGATGTTTAGACATGTTTACAAATGTCATCACAAAAAATAAATAATTATTCATTTTAGTCATTCATGGATATCTTTAAAGGAAATATCATAAAATAGTAGTTATAGATTATATAATTAAACTTATTTAATTGCTATAAATAAAACTCACATTATTATTATTTAAATTTCAGTTTTTTTATTTAATCAATTGGATATCAATTGAATTAATTGACCAAAATTAATAGCATATTACCACCTTAGATTAAATTAATTAATGCAATGTTAGTTACTACAAGACTATATATTGGTTCAACATTTAAAATATAATATATGTAGGTGATATTTACTTTAACAATTCCAAGAATGAGTACGACACTAGTGGCGAAGATGAACAAATTAGTTCCTATTACAGCAGAGTAAGCTATTTGAACACCTGTTAACAGACCCATACATTATTTGGTATATTAGACTATTACAAGTATTTTATTAGGCTGATATATGCTAATTGAAACATGGTTATTCTCACATATTATCATTAATTAAATATTTGCACTATATTTAACTGCGAGAAAATATTCATTTCATCATTTATCATGATTTCTAAGTTTTTTTTTATAAATTGAATATCTTGATTCAATTTATTATAAAATTAATGTAAATGATAGAAATTCGGTAAAAATAATAATCAATACCACCGCGATATGGTAAAAACTATATTCAGATTTGTTTTTTTAAGATTCCCGTTTTTCTCAATTTATCAATCATAAAGTATTTTTTACGTTTATTTCTTATACCTTATAAGGGTGACAACTTAATTTTTTTAAATCAAAAGATTAATAATTAACTATTTTTAACTCAATTAGTTAATGATCTAATTGAGAAAATTACCAGTTGATAACTTTTGGACCAGTATTTCGGAAGTTACTGACATTTTTATACCTTGGTTGGAGGAAAAGTACGGTCAGGAAATATGTATTGATAAAAATAATAGCACCCGTATCTCATATACGGTGTATATTTTAAAATGTTAATAATTTTCAAAATTCTGGTTCAAAAGTTATTATCGACCTATCATTAAATAAGTTTTCAGGGTCAATATTTTTAACTAGATTAAAATTTCGTTTTTTTGATGTACTAATAACTAAATATGGTTTAGCGAGAACTGAGAAATTTGAGGTAATGCGCTGTTCTATTTTGTCATATAATTATTTTCCCCCGTATACGTTATAAAAATAATACTTAAAAATTACTTAAAACATATTAAAATCATTCAACTTAGGTTAAATTAAATTTTTTTTTTTGAGAGAAGGACTTTGTTCTTTTTTTTTTAAAAACAGGGAATAAAGCGAATTCTTTTATGAAAGTAATTTTGACAACGCTGATTACAGCCAACGTAATTATTATATTGAATGTGTAATCTTGTTTATAATTTATGTATGTTATTAAATATTGAATATGAATGATAATTTAGACAGTAAAAAACAAACTAAGTTAATAAAAATTTTAAACATTTTTGGAGTTAATTTAAGCAAATCGAATAGTAAAAATAATTTATTTTTGCAGACATATAAGGCATCCAACTGCCACATACGTAATAATAATATTAAAATAAAATTTGACAATAACTTTATAAATTACCATAAAAAACGTCTTGTAGATGAGTAGAATTTTTCACATTTGTACTTATCATCCAACTGTATATTAAAACAACCAGTACAGAGACATTCTGAAATCAAAATATTTAAAAAATTAATAAATTATACTCGTACTAATAATAATGTATAGTACAACTCTTTTAATGTAGATAGATTACTTATATATTCACAAATAAATATTAATTATCCATAATATATTAAAATTTTCTGAAAATCAACTTTAAACAATGAAGAGTAGTGTAGAGAATAAAATTATATGAATAATAGAAAAAAAAAATAACTTTTATCTGTTACTCAACAAAATAACTATTTTTAAATAGATATATGCTTAAAAATCTTATTTTTATGCTGGTGATCTGGATCAATAAAAGACTCTGAGTTGAATTCTTTATCTTTGAGTGGAATTATGAACATGACAAGACAATGAAATAGTGAATGTAAGACAGCGTTGAATATTTATAAATATCTGTGGCGTAAGAACAAAAAATATAAACAATTTCATAAATGGCCAAATCATTGACAAACGACATAAATAATATTTAAATGAATAGTGGTAAGGTTTAACTGAGGTATTGATGGTATATGTAATGAAAAACTGTATATGTTGTATTAATCGAATAAATGGCGATTGAAGTCACGAGAGAAAAGAATACTTAAGCATGTAAAGGCGATTCAGAAATGTATTGACGGATATCTGTCTTTAAAGAAACAATGGTTGTCGACCGAACAGTTCGCCACGACCCGAGGTAGGTTAAGGAAGGTGGGAGCACCGGGTGTTGGACACTACCATTCTAATAAACTGTGCAACAAATAATAAGATTCAATGAAATCAATTTTTAGCTTCGATGCGAAGCTGAGAAGGTATTGGTTTTACTATGATGTGTTTTTTTTGTGTCTGTTACCACTTTTTCTCAGCTCTCACCAAACCGATTTCTTTCAACGATACGTCAAAAGATCACAAATCGTATCTAGTCGAAGACATTACTCTCAAAAATTGAAAAAATTCCCTTGTTCCCCGTAAATGGGGGAAACCTCAAAAAAAATTACAAATTTAAAAATTGCTAATTTTTGAAATTCTTTTAATTTTTTTTACTTAAAACTGTCATAACTTTTTTAAAAATAACCAAATCAATATAATTATTTTTAATAGGTGCATGATGTCTTTACCTATCATTCGATATATTTTTTTTATAAATCTGATTCTTTACCCGCCCACAGGGAAGGATTCAAAATGACAACTTTTTCACAAAAAAATTACTTTTTCAACTTAACTTTTGAAAGTGTTCCAGAAAGTCTGACACTTTTACATATATCTTAAATTAAATCTAATATAATGTACTTTATTATAAAAAAAAAAAAATTTTTCGGACTTTATTTTGTCTTCACAGTGAAAATGGCTACCGAATGCTATTTTTGTGTTTAAAATAAAGATAAAGCATAGACGTTGTAGCTAAATTGTTGGTAAGTGGCTTTATCTACTTGGTTAACTTTTTGTATTGCAATAAAGGAATTGGTCACTTAAGATAAGTTTATTTTATTAGGTTTTATATTTGAAACTTGTTAACCAGTGACTTTGAATATTTCCAAAATAATTGCTGAAGCCAGGTATTTAGAAATAGATGATTATTATTACAAGAGTCGCAAATTTATCCATTTAAAAAAGTTTATTTCAATCTTACCGAGTAAATAATAAATTATTGGAGTTTCATTTTGGAATTTACATTAATTAGGAGTTTTGTTATGAGGAATGAAATAAATCACTCCACCTTTAGAACAAAGATGTTATTATTATCATTTAGTTTATTGATAAACAGCTCATAAACATATGATACATGTTTAAGATAACTATGTCGTATTTTAAAAATAAGCACGTTTTATTACTAATCGTCCTTACAGCTGTAATTTGTTGGAATTCGAACAAGATAGAAATATTTTTTAATAAAATTATTTTATTTTAATTTGAATAAATTTAATAATTTCAAAAAAATTGGAATAGTCATTTAAAAATAAAAAGTTCACACGATTTAAGAGTACAAAGGTTAAGAACAGAAAATTAATCTTTCGTGTAAAGCAACTCAGCAAAGAACTATTATTCTGAAATAAAGAAAATAATGATTAACTTTAATAATTTCTAAGATATTTAATGAGGCGTTAAGGAATTACGCTGTACACTTATAGTAAATTTTAAAGAAGTTAAGTGCCTCAGTAGTGGTTTAAATATTTTTAATAAATGCATAAAGTCCCTTATAATTACCAATTTATTCGTATAATAAATAAAATATTTAATCATAATTGTATCGTTTTAAAGCTTAAGAAGTAATTATAAGTGATATTTTTTACCTATCATGATTTTAGAGTTGATGAAAAGCATAAAATATAATACATATAACTTTATTAATTCATTAAAATAAAATTAATAAAAAACTTTACGTAAATAAGTAAATTTATTAACATTATTATTAAGCATATTGTTTTTTAAATAAAAAATTTAAATATTTTTAAGTAAAAATTGTAGTTTATAAAATATATACATGATAGCTAAAATAACGTTACATAATTAATTCACAAATAGTAAATTTGTTTGGAAAGTATAAAACCGAAACTAAATTATTTATATACCATCTGTTAATTTTTTTATGTGAATTATGCAGAGTTACATTTGTTTGTCTTAAACTAAAGTCTGAACTTAAATTCTTACAACTTTGATATAATATGGAAGAGATCATCACAACGAAATTGTGTTAATATTATTGTGTTAATAATGTAAAATTCAATATCGAATACGAGAATTGCAATAACTTAAAAATTATGATTTTTAAGTACTATAGTAATGAGGTATACATTTTATGTACATTATTTTATATGTTGATGGTATGGGAGATATGAAAATTTATTAAGAACTCATAATATATTTTGGTAAAATATTTTAATATTATTTTATATTAAATATTTTATTTGAAAATATGATAATAATTTCAAAGAATAGATATAACTACGTGAATATAAATTGTGTATTGATTCAGAACAAGGGTAGTTTGAAATAGTAATCGAACTAGATTAATAAAAAATTTTCACAGTAATTAATTAAAATTTGTTTCATTTATTTTGGATAGAGACGATTGCAGGCCTATAATTGTTTTATTAGAGATATATATTCGAACATTTTAAAGATAAGTAGATAAAATAATTTATTTAAAAAATAACATGTTTGAAATTGATTATGATATTTTGTTAGCTTAATCAATACAGTTAATAAAATTTATTTATTTTACGTTTTTTGGTATATTCTCTCCGCAATGTATTAATAAATGCGTTCAAAAAAAAAACTTTGCTTGGATAAAATTTGTCCTGGTTATTACCTAGCCAAGTTTATTCACAGTTCCTAAAGGAGAGAAATTAATAATTTAAATTATGTCGTCCGAATTATAGCATGCGCCAAATTATCAAGGTTTTCGTCCCAGGTTGGTTTCAAAGAATATATTTGCTGTCGATTTTCTTTATAGTATCTAAAAGGGTTGCTTTCAATTTCTCCAAATGATTTATTCTTTTTACCTTTTTGTCTTTTTCAGACTTCGTGCAAAGGATTGGTATTTATTTATAATTTACCTTTATTATAATATTTTTAAATGTCCAGAGAACATTAATGCATGGTTATTAGGCGCGTATGATAGAACAATGTTTTACTCTTACGATTTTATAAATTATTTAGTGTTCCATGTATATATAAAGCATGTAGTCCAAAACAGTCCTATTCAAATAAAAAATATATCTTTTTGGGCCAAGCAACAACATTCATCAATATCTTTTTAAAAATAAAATAGACATATACGTATCACTTAAATGAATTTTACTTGAACCCCATCGATTTACGCAGAAATTATATCTAATGATTTAATGAGCCCAGCATTAAAAGCTCGTCTTGTCTTCTCGTCTCGAGAGATTTACTCTGGTGACTGCGAGTATCCATCGTCAGATTAAAATCTAGTCTATTAAAGAGATTAAGGGTTAAAATACTTTAATCGATGTAGTGAATATATTTTCTTATTAAATGATGGTTATGGTTTAATATTTAAGTACGTTATAACCTACCAAATTTTCAGATGATACTTTGTATAAAGTTCTTAATGTGTTTATGATTATAAAAGTGGGCAAAGTTGATTTTAATTAAAATTATATTTAGTACTTTTTAAGTAAAGTGTAAAGATTAAGAGTTACTAGCGAGCATACAAACAGTGTTGTTTTAATTATGTAGGCTAACGTTTCTAGCGAATGTACATTAACGGGGTATTACACAAATGCATTTAACTAAATACATTTATCTTTATAAAGGAGCACACAAACAGCATTACTACGTCATTATGTGTATATTTCCAATAACAATGAAGTTTATACCAGTTAAATTTTTAATTGAAGGCGTAAAAAGATAATTTGGCAGATCTGCCACGAAGTATTCAATCATTTAAAAAACATTTTCAATTTTATATATATATATTATACAATTTTAATTAGAAATATTGTTTTCATACATAAGTAGATTATTTTAGTATAACAATGAATTTAAATTGTAGCTTTAATATTTGCCAATTTTTTACATGTAGGTTTATAATCGATTTAAACATAATCTGAATTAGCTAAATTCTTGTATCATGCTCATGTAAAAGGTCGCTAATTCTATGTTTTATAACCGAAAACAAATTATTAACATCGGTCAATACTTGATAAGGTTTCTACATGTTAAATCTTCTTGTGTTAATTAAATGGTGCAACGGACCAATAACTAACGGATACTAAACAGTTTGCAAATGATTTGATATTGTATATCCAAATCATTAATCAAATATATTCAATCATTCCAAATGGTATCTTATACCTTTTCTTATTTTAAATATTAATTTATGTATAAATAATCCAAGTAAGAGAAGAAATAGGTAATTTATAAAATAAATATAACAGTTGTACTAAATGTTACGTAGGACTAACAAAAAGAAATATAGGGGTCAGGTTTAAAGAACAATTAAGTAACATTAAAAATTAATAAGTTGATAAATCTCCTGTGGCTGAACGTTTATTC